GAGCATTCTGCAGCAACAATTTCACCTTGAGGACAAGGTGCTCTTTGAACCCGGGGGAGATGTAAGGAACACAGGGCCCATTACACTGATTGAACCTAGCAGCCCAATTGCAGCACACAATATTCCTCCATCACTGATACCCACTGATACCAGCCCTCGTGAGAAGAGTCCCAAGAGAAACCGACAGCAGCCTCACCATTTGAAGGATTACATTGTCACGTGTCCTTCATCACGCAAAAAGGGAAATTCTGTTAGGGGAAAATGATTATTGAATATTCCTTTATTTTACATATGCATTGTACTGCAAGGCAATAGCCATTTGGTGCTTATATAGCACTTTTATATATGGAAAAGGGGACAAGCAATAGAGCATTTACTTTTTCCTCTCTGAAATTCTCTTTCCTTTCTGTTATTCTTTCTTTTCTGTCACTGCAGCACCTTTCAATAACCCACATGCAATTCCACAGAGACAACCAATTAATTGCCCCCATGCCCATGGAGTTATACTTCAACCATTTTGTGCATGAATGCCTGATACTTTTAATTTTTCATTAGTTTAAAATGTTAAAAAATTATAAACAGAATATACGTAATTTATTATTTCATTGTTTTTGTTGCATAATAAATTATTTCATTTTCAAATCACGATGAGAACTTTTCCATTTAATATTGTAGCCCGTATTCTAAAGCAATTTATCTTTTATTAAAAAATTTAAGTGAGTTGAATTTCTGAATTCTGTAAGACCCCATTTTTTTTCCTTTTCTCTCCCCGACACTCTCCTCTCACTCGCTCTCATTCCCACTCTTTCTTTCTCTCTTTGCCTTCTTTATTGATTTCTACTTGCTGTCTCAAGGTGCTGATTCTTGAAGGTTTGGTTTTTGCTGTGGTTGCGGACATTCTTCTCTTCTCTTCCCCCGTTCAAGTTCATTTCATCTTCTTCTCGTTTCTCTCTTCTCGGAGCTCGGATTCTTCGTACCGAGGTAAGGGAAGTTAGTTTTGCTGCGTTTTTGGCTGAAATGAGTCTAGGAACTCATTGTGATTGTTGATGATTGATGGTTCTTGGCTGATTTGGGGAAAATGGGATTTTTAGGGGATTTCGGGGTATGAAGAAATTTTAGGGTTTTTAATGAATTGTGTTTGCATGTTGAAAATGAGACATTTTTATTGATGTTTGATGAAAATGGAGACTTTTGAATGGATTGCATGCTGGTTTTCTGTTGATTTTTGCAGGTTTTGGGCAAAATTTCGAACTTGGGGACGTTGTTGCTGAGCTTCGCGCCAGGCGCGTGACCACCAGGGGACTCTGTTTAGGCAAGCCCGCGGGGCGCAAAGGTGTGTGCGCAAGGCGAGCTTGAGAATGGGAGCCTCTGGTTGGCCCACGCCGGGCGTGACTTGAGCTGCGCCGGGCGCGATATCAATGGTGACATGTTTTGGGTGTTCTGGTGCCGCGCTAGGCGCGCGTTTGGACTCACTGGGCGCGGAGGCTCCTTGGGAGTCTCTGCCAAGAGGGCGCTGGGCGCAATACGAATTGCGTTGGGCGCGAGACTTTGGAGTCTCTGCCTGGACGTGCGCTGGGCGAAAAGCTGAATTGCGCCAGGCGCATGAGAGCCTTGGGCTCTCTGGCTGGGTCACGCCGGGCGCAAGTACTCTTGCGCCGGGCGCGCTGGCCCCTGGTGCTCTCTGGTCGTGCCACGCCGGGCGCGACCATGAGTGCGCCCGGCGCGTATGAGGATGAGGTGTTATATGCTGAAATTTGCTGAAAAATGTTGCTTTATGTTGAGATGAGTTTAAACCGATGAATATGTTGTTCTGTTTAGATGAAAATGCTGATATATGATGTTAAGCTGAAATAGATGTATATTGTTGTGCTGAGCTGGGCTGTGATTGATGATTTTTTTTTAAATGTTGAATGGTAGTAAGCTGTGTTTAGTACTACTTGGCTGTGCTGTATGTTGTTTTGTTGTGCTGTGCTGTGAGCTGTGTTAGCTGAGCTGTGTGATGTTATTAGTCACTATTGTGGTGCTGTTATAGCCGCTATGTCGGTGCTGTTATTAGCCACTATTGTGGTGCTGTTATAGCCGCTATGTTGGTGCTGTTATTAGCCACTATTGTGGTGCTGTTATAGCCGCTATGTCGGTGCTGTTATTAGCCACTATTGTGGTGCTGTTATAGCCGTTATGTTGGTGCTGTTATTAGCCACTATTGTGGTGCTGTTATAGCCGCTATGTCGATGCTGTTATTAGCCACTATTGTGGTGCTGTTATTACCGCTTTGCGGTGCTGATATTACTGAATTGTTGTGGTGTAGTATAAGCTGTGCGGATGTGCTGATAGTTGTAGCTGGTTACCATTCATATTGTTTTATATGTATGTTATTTTCTTTTCACTAGCTTACCCTTTGTTGTCTCCATGATGTTTGGACTGCGATGATCATACTATGTATGGGAACAGAGCAGGGATAGGTTGGTGGCTGGTGGTAGGTCTGTAGCTGGCAGACGGAGCTAAATCTTTTTAGATGTTTTTGTTGTTTTAGCTACTGGGTGTAGTAGCATTTGATGTATTTTGTACACTTTAACTCTATTCAGACTTGGATCATGTATATGTATATATTTTAGACCCTATATGTATACACTTGTTCCTTTCTGTGTGGTATTTCTAGTATGTCGTGCCGTATGTAGTGACTAGCCGGGTCGTTACAAATTCATCGCAGGACAGACCTTAAAATTTATAAAAATGGTTACAAATTATTTACTAATAAGATTTTTAAATCAGCAGAAATCAAACTCGTCCTCTTTTAAGATACGAGTTTTTTCTTTACCGATTAAACCAACATTTCTTAGCATCCTAAAGCAATTAACGACTACGACCTGCTCCTTTCTCGGACAAAATAATGTCTATTTGCTGTCGATAGAGGCAGCGTTAGGTGAAGTGGTGAGCTTACCAGGTAATGCAGAAAGCTGTTGTACCGTCTAACGACTCACAAATACGTTAAAGGGACACCTACACGATTTAGACTTGAGATTCATTTTTATATACAAATATTTTGTACATACACATATAAACTAAAGTTTGCACCAACTATACACTATGGATCTCTTTAAGAACTATATATCATATTAAAGTTATTACTAGTAATATACAAAAAAAAATCATGATTTACACGTAGTGAAAACCCATAAAACTGTCTTTTGAGTATTCTTTTTATTTATATATTATATTTTGGTCATATTAATTTATGTGTGATATTTAACACATCTTTCACATTAATGATTGAATATCTCCAATGTAAAATTTGCAAAATTAAGTATCAACGAGTGATCTTATAACTATTCTATCGAAAGAATGATATAAATTTAACAATAATCATTAAAAACTCAAATTTACCAAATCAATTTATGAGATAGAAATTGTTCTTCATTCATATACTTTAATTTTATCACATTATTATATTAGTAGACATGAGATATGTGACTTTCTCTCTCATCTCTTGAAGAATGTGGATAGAAAGAGAGGAGAGAGAGCAGAAATGCTATTATTTCTTAAGTTTAAATTAAAGGAAGTGAGGAAAAAAATAATGAAGCATGGTGACTGGTCCATCGTGGTGGATTCCCTTGTTATACAGTGAACCGAGCATGGAATGTAATATGGTACACTATTATATTCTTCCCTGTTATTAATTCAGGGGTTGTTCCATGCAAAGTAATGCACTCACTAGTCACTAGAATAGTTGAGTCTTACTAAGCAAATCCCATACACAGTTGCCTACCTTAATTTCACCTTGTGTATATATAATAAAACAATCGTCACTTGCTTCATTTTTATTTTATCTTTTACAAAAGATTTAGGTAATGAATTTTATAACTAACCAAAGTCAAGACATGCTTCAAAACTCAAAAGTATTTATAAATGTACTTATATATATTACTTAATAATAAAATTCTCACTTAAGCGACTAATATATTATTTACTATAATAAAACTCTGACATCAATGAATGGAATAAACTCATATTTTTGTGAGATGAGTTTCTTCTTTACCAACTTAACAAGAAGCTTCATTTTTATTCATGTTTGGTGTCTAGTCATAACTTCAATAAAATGCACCACAAGTGTATAACTCCCTCATTCTACTTTTATCGTCAAAGAAGCAAATTAAGCTCATGTGACTGACACTTTTCTGACCAATGTCTTTGCTCTTAGCCTTGTCAAATTCCTCTATCTGCTCCATTTTTTAAAGGATCCACTATCACATGGACCAACCTGTAGAAAGAAAGGACCCTTTATTTAACACAATACTTCAATAATTCGCAAACGCTTCTGAGCTCATACTGTCCAATAATGCAAGAGGGTCTGTCCCCTTTTGCACTATTATATTCAAGCTATAGACAAAAGACGTTAACATATTCAGCTTCATTCAGGTCTCCATGGATCAGATTTACTTATTCTATGATTCTACCCCTTTGCACTTATGCATATAAAACTATCTACTGACATATTTTAGAATGTAATTAAGCATGCAAAGCCTCTCAATCAATCATATTTATTCCAATTATATAATATACAATATAGAAAGATGTCAATCACGCATAGTGCACTGTTGCTATATACGGATAGTTTAGTATGCATAAAAGTTTTTAAAGGATCTAATATAGTGCTCAAAACTTTAAAGAATTCCCTATCATGCCGTATTGCCATGCGTTTCCTTGTCTTTTAGTCTTCGATTTGCGTCACAGTTGTATTACCAAATATGCCTCGACTTTGTTCTTTTATATTTGACCTCTTTACCATGCTTATATTTCATTAATTAATTTGGATGTTACACTTATCCACATGATCTATTTTGCTAAACACCACATGTATGCTTCACTTAAACAATCATGTTTCAATAAGAAAAGATTACGAAAGACAGTAAAATTTTCTCTTCTAGTATTTAACAAAACTGCATATCAAAACTTGAACTCAAGATAACTAATTAAAGTTAGAAAAACTTAAAATCACTTGATCTAAGTGTTTGGTAGTACTAGTATCCACATGGATCAAAAGTTTTATATTCTTATTTTTCCCTCCAGCTTGAGCTAAGTCCCATCACATTCACATATAAAGTTTGTCACTCCCACTTCCCTTCCTGCGATCACTGTGTTCCTTTTCTTACCCCTCATCTTTGATCATTAGTCATGTTTCTCCTCTTTTAATACGCATTTGTTTCTTCAATAGCTAAAACAGTCAATGAGACTCTTCTCAAACCATGTTTCTCCTTTTATGACAATAGGTGGTTGGTATCTTCTGTCTTTAGTTGATTATAGTTTCGTCAGTGTTTAGTGGTTCATCACATGACAAGTTCCAATCGCACTGGATCTATTTTCTAATATTATCCTGGATAAAATTCATGGGGTTCTGTGCAGTTTGGTTTCCCCAATAAAATTTGACCTTAAGCTTTAAAGCCTTTGTTTTTTTCCTCCTCTCCTCCTTAACATAAGGTATTATAATTTGGACTTTGTGTCATTCAAGTAATTGGTTGAGACTTGAGCAAGGGGGTTTGGAGTTGTGAGAGAAGAGAGGTGCTTTAGTTTTAGATAATAGTAAAAAGTTGGAATGGGGAAACTTAGTAGGATGTTGGACAAGTTCTGTCTTTCTTCTTGTTCAAACACTTGTTTCTGTGTAAATTCCATGGAATTTGAATATGAGTTTGAGAATAAGCCTTTGATTGCAAGTGGTGGCGATCATAAACTAAAACTTAAGGATGTAGTTGCCGGAAAGCAGACATTGGCTTTTCAATTGAAACCCAAGGTGAGGCTTCACTTTTCTTTTCTTTTTTTTCAATTGAAGTGTATTTGTAAACACTAGTACCTCTTTTCTCATTCCAGGGGAGAAAACAAGAAAATATAGTTTAGCATTTTTATTAGACAACTTGTGTGGGTTAATCTGACATTGTTGGTAAATGTGTAGATAGTGATATTGAGGGTGTCCATGCATTGCCAAGGCTGTGCCAGAAAAGTTGAGAAACGTATCTCAAAGTTGGAAGGTGAGTACATTGCACCTTATTTCCCTCACTCCATTAGTTTCATTTTGTAAATTTTGAAATATTTCAGTCTCTTTATTTGCCACTTTAGAATATAAAAATATATATATTCTCTTATTCCAATAATTGTAGTATACAGTTATAAGTTTGTAATTATAAAGTGCCTATTTATTTTATTCAATTTCAAAGTACGGTGAACGAAATTTTTCTCTCATGTAACTTTAGCGTTGAATGAAGCATGATAATAATACAAACACGCTTAAAGTACTTATTAAGAATATGTTTAGATGAAAAATTTAAATAGAATAATTCATTTTTAAAAGAATTTTAAATGTTTTAGGATAAAATATTTTATTTCAATGGAAAATTTATAAGAGATTTGATATTCAAGTATTTGTGAATTTTTTTTTAAATAGTAAAATTTCAAAAAAAATTAAAAAAAAAAACAAGAATTTAAAATTTTTCATATTTTTTTTCTTTTCTAACCTATATATATTTTATCTCTCTCTTATCTCTTAATTATTGGATATTCAAAAATATTTTTAAAATTATTAAATATTATTTAATATTAAATTTTTAAATTATTAAATATTATCTAATATTAATTTTTAAAACTATTAAATATTTAAAATATATATATATAATCAATTTTATTGATTGTGAAAATCAAATTACCATATTTGAATTAAAATTTTAAAATTTTTAAAATATGAATTGACTTATCTAAATATACTATAAATATATTTTAATAAAGTTTAATTTTCATGGATACACATTCACTTTTACTTAGATAATATTGAGGTGTCAAAGTGAATCAACTCGACATGACATGGCTCACCATAAGTTGCTACTTTAGATAGATTAACCCAATCTGACTCACTTTCTGGTGAGTTAAGAAAATTTCAACCCGGCTTGACTCACTACGAGTTGGTGGATTAGGTGAATTAGTTCACCAAATTTTTAAAAATTAAAAATTTTATTATATGCTTCTATTTTCAATAAATAAAATAAAGAATAATGTTTTATATCAAAAAATCAAGTTTATCATTGATTCAAATACAAATACATAAAAAAATATCAATAAAAAATATATAAAACATAAATATACTTTTTATTATTTTTTTTATAGTGGGTTAAACAAATCAATCCAACTTACTTAGTTTAAATCTGTTTAGCTCATAGATTGAGTAAATCGAGTTAGAATTTAACCAAAATCGACTGGAGCCCATGGTGAGCCGAATTGATCATCAAGTTCATTTTGACATCTCTACAATAACCAATAAATAATTATAAATAATTACAGCTATATAGTTAAAAGGTTAATAAAATTACCATGTCAATTTATGATTGAATTGGAGCATAAAATTCTTTATATTGTACTCGAATAAAATAATTTTATCATGAGAATGGATATAATTAATTATTTTATGTGCCTTGAAGGAAAAATAAAATAAAAGAAAATACTAGGGTGTCTTTAAAAACTCGTTTGCATTAATTTTAATGAGAATTCACATATTTCTATACACTAAATTTAAAATTTAAAAGCAAGAATCTTTTCTTTCGGACGTGATTTTGTTACCGTAAACTAAACATGTACTACATATTTTATATTGTTGTTTGTGCGTGGTGTGTTTGTTTCAAGTTTCAACTATTCATCTGAACCAAACCCCATCGGTTATAATTGAAGAGTGTGATCAATCAGAGGTTGCCCAACTGTCCATCAGAGAAGATAGATTATTTTATTCCTCATGATAATTGCTTAGCTAGCTAAGCCATCTACAAAAAAGTCAACTTCATCATTTTGTGGCATGGGTGCTATTTTCTGCTATTTGTATATTTATAATTTCTAACAATTTCCACATTCTACTTCTGAACAGGAGTGAGCTCATACAAGGTAGATCTGGAAACCAAAATGGTAGTTGTTAGTGGGGACATTCTTCCTTTGGAAGTGTTGGAAAGTGTATCCAAGGTTAAAAATGCAGAGCTTTGGAATTCTCCATGCTAATAATACTAAGCAAAAGTCATTTTTGTTGTTGTTACTTATTAATTTATTATACATATATAATATATAGTAATGTTAATACCCCGTGTCTCGATCTCCCTATGAAACTGCACATCTTTAGTACACTTGGTTAAGGTTTTTTGACATTAATGGCTAAAAGTTTCTCTATTGTCAAGTTGCACCCAAAAAGTTATAGTGATCACACTTTCTCTTCATTTTATTACTTTCTGTTCAGAATCTTATTTAGCTCGATTCTTGTTCCCGTATCACACATTATGCAAATGGAAATTAGCGGCAGTGACAAGAAATTTAATGTCATTGATAATATTACAGACAGTTTTAAAGAAAGTGCAATGATCGAATTTTGACATAAAACTCTGCTTTATTGATAAGAATACGCTTAACTATTGCTTATAGCCAAATCCAATTACCGCAAAAGCAGAAGATCCATTATGTGCGGCTACTCAGCTAGCTTTTAAGCAGATTAATAAACTATTTATGTGCCCCTAGTAGCAAACAAAATAATTAAATTACGATCACTGACTCTGATTTTATAATGCATTCATATGGGATAGTAACTATTAGTCAACACCAAGTATGAACACATTTAACTCTCTAAATGTTAATTTTCTATCGATAATCATCATTGACATTATATATCTAATTATAAATGATTTAGACATTTATAATAATAGTAATAATAATAACTTACTTATATTTTAAATAAATAACATATGCATCAGAATAAATCAAATAAAACAATGAAATAAAATATAATTGTTTTTAAAATTATAGTACGAAATCTTGCCAACTTGTATTTACTTATATAATAGCAGTATCGTTACTTACACCGGGAACCAACGTATCATTATTTTCGTTTGGGCGCATTTCAATTTCCAATGGAGAACAACCCTATAAGGCTATGACCCTATCCTATCACCGTAATCGAATTCCAGGTGGGCTTCGGTAAAGGACCTGAGATGTGGCCCATAACTCGTGGACCTAAAAAACGAAACAAAACTTGTTTTTAAATTATTGTTTTTTAAATAGTATTTTGAATAAAATAAATAATTTTCTATTTTTTAATGTATTTATCTAAACTACTTATCTTAAAAATAAGAAGTTTTCTATTTCCTATCTGTTTCTTAAAAATTTAAATAAATTGACGCTTAGTTTTTAAATTGCCCCAATTGGAATTAACGCAAGAACATGAGTAATGATGCGAAGGAAAAAGGATCCCTTGGCTAGTGAGGTACTACAATAAGCGATGCATAACATGAGCAAGGATGAGTCATGAACTAAGTTTTTTTAACGACATATATAGGCAAGGTTGTTGGGATGTGATATTGTATTTGTATGGTACACGTACACGAGTCTACCAATATTGCAAACAATCGCACACCCATGATACCCACTCCAATTCGTCCCAACTTTGTCAAGAAAAAATCGTTGTCATCTAGTTGAGGTTCACAATTATTTTACAGCACAATAGTGATTTATAATTAAATCATCATGTAAAATTATTTTTCACACCGCTAGTATATAGTTTTTTTCTTCTTTCAATTATAGTCCTACAAACTTATTTACAAAATTTATTTTACTGAGATTTTTGCTGTAAATTTTATTTTTAACATTGGTTATTGTGAAAGTCTTTAATTAAAGGTTCACTTGACCCCGATAGAAAAAAGTATATCATATTTATATTTTAAATAAAGTTTATAATCTCTTGTTCTTTAAAAATCTTAAAAAGGGAGATAGATCTAGAGAGAAAAGTTATAATTCTTTTTCCCTTCTTCTTTCTAGGTTATTTTAGGGTGTGAGATGCATAGTGGGGAGTGTCGAATTCGAAGCTTAAGCTATAAATCAAAGGATTGAGACGGTGCAAAGCTTGGAAGCTTGAGGTTCTCCTTTCTTCTCTTTTTCCTTTCTCGGATTAACTTAGAATCAGAGTAAGGGAAGCTAAAACTTGAATTTGGTGGATGATTGTGTGGATTATCATATTTCATGTGTGGTATGAATGTTCATTGATACATAATTGTTTGAATGTTAAATAAATTTGCAATGAGACATGGATGAGACATTCTAACATTAAATTATTAACTATTTTATCATATGTAATATACAAGTTAAATATTTATTATATATAACTATAATTTAGATTAAATTATATATATATATATATATAGATATATAATATTATACTTAAATATATAAATTATATTTTAAATTCATGATGAATTATATATTTAAATTAAATTATACTTTTAGTCATTTATATTCTAAGTTTAAGTCAATTTAATTCTTTCAAATATTTTTTTGATCGATCAAGATTTGAAATTTGTCTCGTAAGATCCATTTATATATAAAAAATTTAATGCAATTAAAGTTTAGATAAATATTTTATATAACTTCGTCAATAATTTATATTGTAGGACAAGACTATTTTTATTTATTGATAAATAATTTTAAAATATTAAAATCTAATTAAAAAAATTAAATTAAGTATAAAATTAAAAAATATTTCTAAAAGTTCATTTATCGAAGAAAAATTATTAAATTTTTTTACACAAGATAAATAATCGTATTTTATATAAAAGATTCATTGAACTTCTTATATTTGTAAATTTTATTATCATTTACTCTCTACCTCATAGTATTTTTTTTTCAGGTTTTTTTATCCAAACCAATACAGATTAATAAATAAGTAAATGAAATATTTTCTAGAAATGACATGACATAACAATTTTTAAAATATTAATAAGAAATTTTATTAACTTTTTTATAAAAAACTTGAAGTATCACCTATTTTGAGACTTTTTTTTTTTTTTTTTTACTTAAACAATACGTGGTATTTATTATCGGACAAAAAAAATAGTAATAGATTACAACCACAGGCTTTATTTGGGGTCAAACATGAACACAATGGAAAGCGTATTTGCAAAACGTTATTTCTCCGTTGAACATGAAAATTCAGCAATCTTCCTGCATCACGTTCTCTTTTTCGCAATGTGGGAAACAAGGATATAAATCACGAAACAAACACCAGAAGAAAATGAAACAAAATCTTTTATTTATTCTCGTATTGAAATTCAATGACAGCGAAAGGCTAGTCAATTGAAGCTAGTACATAGAAGATGTAAGTGAACTGAGTTGGTTAAAGTTTCATTCATTTATCGATTCAATTAAAATTTAATGAATTGAGTTAGGTTAAACTAATGTTGTTTTTTTTAAATATACTTAATTAATTTGATTATAAATAAGTTGGATTGAATTTAATTAATTGAATCAATATAATTAAATTTGTTTTTTTTATTTATAAAATTTAAATATTTTAAAATAAATAAAAAATATTTAATATCTTAATATAAATGTAATATTATTAATTGATAAAATAAATAATAATATAAATTAAATTTTAAAATAAATTTACTACAGTATTATTGGCTCAAACTACCAACACTGCGACCTCAAACTTCTATTTCTTGACCGTGTATGGTCTTGATCCTCTACCCCAGGTTTGGAAGAAATTATGGAGCCTTTATGTTTCGGAGAAGGTGAAATTTTTCCTTTGGCAAGAATTGCAAAACGCACTCCCAACAAATAGCAAAAGATTTAGTTGCCATGTATTTATGACCGAAGCTTGTCTTCGTTGCAACCACACACGTGAAGTGAAGACATGTTGTATGCCCTTCGAGACTTTAATGTGACAGCAACATAAGCTTTAGGAGGATCATACATCTTGGGTGCCCCCGGAGCATCCAAATCTTAAGCTTAATATAGACGGTAGTTGTCGCCCTCTGACACAAATGATGGGTACTGACGACGTAATAAGCGAATTCTCACCGTGATGGTGATCGGAACTTTTAGCCATGGTTGAAGGTTTATCACTCCGTTGGGATGCAGGCTTTAGGAATATTCTCTGTGAGATAGACTATTGAGGCTAGTTCTCTCTCTCATTGGAGGGTGGCATGAGCATGCTGATTTAGTTTATATCCTTCAGGAGCTGCTATCCAAAGATTGGCAGGTTTCTCTTTTCCGCATTCCTCGGGGTAGCACATATTCTAGTGGGACGGGGTGCTTATGAATCAAGCAGCTATATAGTTTGGAATGAGCCTCTTGAGGCAATAAGGCGGGATGGATGTTCACCCATTGGCTCTTATTAGCCTCCTTACAATATTTGTTCATTAAATTTTCCAATCTACCAAAAACAAATGTTATCAACTCAAAATCATATATATTGCGAAGCAAAAGTGATAGAAAGTATTGTCTCGAACAAGTGTGTGTATGTGTGTGTAATCATGTAAGGTTGAGATATGGATAAAAAAATACAAAACTCGTTACTTGACCCGTATAATATCAAATTTTGATCGAATTGAATTTGATAATGACTTGTTCACTAAAATAATTGATTCAAATTTATTAAGTCAATTCAAGAAAAAAAAAATAGTACTCTTATAAAGTATAAACAAAATCTATAATGGATCTATGAAAAAAATGGTTCATGAGTGAATCATTGAGATAATATTTTGAAAAATGTGACTAATTGTTTAACAAAGTCGGATATACATTAAAAAAAAAGAAAAATAGTATTCCTATAAAGTATAAATAAAATCTACAATGACCTATGAAAAAAAGGTTCATGAGTGAATCATTGAGATAATATTTTAAAAAATGTGACTAATTGTTTAAAACCGTTGGATATATATTAAACGAGTGGTTATATAGGTTCATGCAAATGACTATTGAGGGTTATAAATTAGTCTTTAGAGAGGAGAGAATGGATGAGTTGAACATGAAAGCAATTTTTTTTTCCTGGATTGGGGATAACAATAAAAGGGAAAACCAAGGATGAATCCCTAGGATAGAGAGAGGGAAATTCACAGAAGGAACTTTAATTAATTAATTGACTTATTTCATACTTTGTTTTGTGTAGAAGAATGTTGTTTACTTCATGTCATGGAGTGGTGTTGGAAAGTGGGGAGGTGAGGGATGGGCGGTAATGACGGAAGAAGGAGACGAAAAGGTTGAGGAAGAGGTTTGGAAATAACCTGTGATCCAAGAGATGAGAATATGGATGTAAAAGTAACTATATTTTTAATTTCTTTTAAGTTTATTTAAAATTTAAACAAAGTAAATAATTTTCTTTTGTGGCAATTCACTCATGCACCACTTAATGTTCTTCCTTACGGAAGAA